AGGCCATATTTCCAGTCACACCCAATTATAGTTCTCACCGATCAACCTCTCAGGCAGATTCTGCAGAAACCAGAGTGCTCTGGAAGATTAATTAAGTGGGCAGTAGAACTGGGAGAGTTTGAGATAACGTTTCAACAAAGATCGGCCATCCGAGCTCAAGCATTAGCAGATTTTATTGTCGAATGCACTCCATGTCCTTCAACCTCTAATCCAGAGTCCAACGAGTGGACCTTATATGTTGACGGAGCATCTAGTAGCAAGGGTTCAGGGGCTGGCGCTCTCTTGATTGGTCCAAAGGGACACCGAAGCGAACATGCCCTGAAGTTCAATTTTGATGCAACAAATAACATGGCTGAATATGAAGCTCTGCTACTTGGTCTACAGTTAGCATTGGAGTTGAAAATCAGTGCAATTCAAATATACAATGACTCCCAGTTGGTGGTAAACCAAATTAACTCAATCTGTGAAGTTGTTGATCCTGTGATGGTGAAGTACGTTGCCTTGGTGGCCGAGCTGAAGTGCAAATTCCAGAAATTCTGTCTGAGTAAAATTCCCCGAGCTGAGAATGAACAGGCAGATTTACTCTCCAAGTTCGCCTCTGATGGCTCGTTAAGTTCCAGATCCGTTTTTGTGGAGGTCTTAGATAAACCAAGCTTCATGAAGCCTCGGATAATGGAGATTAGCACAAACCCTGACACACCAAGCTGGACTGACTCAATTATCTCCTTTTTGCGAGATGGAATAGTACCTGAGGAAAGGCAAGAGGCAATGAAGTTGAGGAAGAAAGCATCTCGGTATACACTTGTTGATGGGGTCCTTTATAAGAGATCTTTTTCACTTCCTCTTCTACGATGCTTGAATCCTTATGAAGCCGAGTATGCACTTCGGGAGGTACATGAAGGTGTCTGTGGGAGCCACGTCGGTACTAGAACTCTGGCTCACAAAGTCTTAAGGCAGGGATATTACTGGCCAAACATGTATAAGGATGCCATTCACTTTGTTCAGAAATGTCCGAAGTGCCAATTCTTTGCACATCTGACTCACCAACCTGCAAAAGAACTCACGAACTTGGTAGCACCATGGCCATTTGCACAGTGGGGACTGGATCTTTTGGGTCCATTCGTGAAAGGGGTTGGTGGTGTAACCCATCTGGTTGTTGGTGTGGATTATTTCACAAAATGGGTTAAAGCTCGACCTTTATCTAGTCTTACCTCCAAGAAGGTCGAAGATTTTGTTTTCAGCTCGATCATCTGCAGATATGGGATCCCAAATCAAATTTTGGCTGATAATGGAACTCAATTCAATTGCTCTTCATTCCGAGATTTCTGTTCCAGTTATGGGATCAAGTTGCAGTTCACCTCCGTTTACCATCCGGAGTCCAATGGCATGGTGGAATCTGTTAACAAATGCATTTTGGAAGGAATAAGGCCGAGATTGGAGCAGCATAAGGCCAAGTGGGCAGATGAGCTCAACAACGTCCTCTGGGCATACAGAACCACGAGCCAAACTGCTACAGGTACTACTTTAAACCAAGTTTATTTGATTAATTTCTATAGTATTTTACTTTTTCTAATACGTTTTACCTTAGAGCAAATATGCATAATGCATAAAGCGCATTCTAAAGTTATAATTAACTGAAATAGGTGAAACACCCTACCACCTAGCCTTTGGTACTAAAGCAGTTATTCCTGTTGAAATAGGAGTCCCAAGCTTCCGGGTCACCCATTTCAATGAAGGACGAAATGGACAACTGCTTCGAGAAAACCTTGATCTGCTTGCTGAAGTCAGAGAAGAAGCTCGGCTTCGAACTCTTGTATACAAGCAGAAACTAGCCAACTTCTATAATAAACGGGTCCGCCCTCGCACATTCAAAATAGGAGATCTTGTTCTCAGAAAAGCTGGCCTAACAGGGTTTGAAACTCGTTTTGGCAAACTCGCCCCGAATTGGGAAAGCCCTTATACCGTGGCCGAGGTGCCACATCCTAGTGCCTATGTCCTCCAAGACGCTGAAGGAAAGAAAGTTCCTAGAGTCTGGAATGTCAATAACTTGAAGAAATTTTACCCCTAATAAAATTCTTTCAAGAAATCTGTCTTACAG